TATAAATATTACTTCCCCTTTTACTGGATATGAAATCCCCTTAAAATAGTTTTATATATTTGAAATTTTAGTAGCCAAGCTATCAATTTCAGTCAAATATTTCATGTGTTGCCAGAGGACATGACTACACAAGTAAGAAATTTGAATTGCATTGGCAGGACCAACATTTTGCTTGGCAAAAAAAAAAAAAAAGTCACCACGAGAGTAATTCAAATCTCACTATCAAGATGGCCTCTCATGACAAAACTGGTAGCAGCACAGTTTGGGTATGGGAATGGTTTCACTCATGGGAATGGCAATACAGGTTAAAATTTCTGTCAGGAGACAATCTTTCTTTAGCAGGACTTCTTGATCTAGGCCAGTTGTTATTAATTTCAGTTTAAGAAAAAAACAAAAAAAAACACCAGGGATAACTATTCAAACATGTGTACTCACTAAAAAATAATGTTTAAGGAAAGCGGGGGGGGGGGGGGGGAGGTTGTATGTGTGTATATATATATATATATATATATATATATAAAAATATATAATCTCCCAATCATTCATCCACCCTTCAACAGATTGTTTTTAATCCTACTTGGTCTCTAACCATTCTCCTCACCAGAGAAAACCTAGTGGGGGAACCAGTTTAGTTGTCATGTGGCAGATAGCACTGGGTTACACGGTACCAGCAGCACTCTGAGTGAGCTGACAATAATGGGATAAACAACACCATCTCAAACAGGTGTTGAGATGTAGGAATACCTGTGTTAGTGTTGACATTGTAAATTGATATCATACGATGACTATGCTCAACTACAAGGTGACAGCCATATCTCCCTCTCTAATTTACATCTATATCAATATATTTATATATAGGGAGACTTTTGACAATAGGAGGGCCAATGACAATCTTCTTGCAAAATGCTACATTGGTGGAACCGAGACCTTCCTGATGCAGTCAAAACTGGGCTGTTCAAGTTGCAAGTATGAGTGATGACAGAATACTGAAGGTTATCATATTGTGAACTGGGGCATGAATTGGCTGGTCAACTTCAACGCTTCGAAGACAAAACTGCTCTCTATTAATCACTAGAGAGAGCCTTCCCTTCCCTCCATTAGAATGTCTGACGCTCAACTTCTCGAGAACAACTCTCTGCGGCTTCTCGGTCTCACCTTGACTGCTGACCTGAGATGGAATAAATACATTGAATCAATTGCCTTGTCCACTGCGAGGAAAGTTGGCTCCCTGAGCTACGCTAGGAAGTTTTTCTCCCCTGAGTCGATCCTCCAGATATACAAATCCACAATTCGCCCTTGCATGGAGTATTGCTGCCATATATGGTCTGGCGCCTCTTCTGTTTGCCTCGGGCTTCTTGATAGGCTCCAGAGGCGGATATGCAATATGGTTGGCCCTGCCCTGGCGTGTCGTCTACAATCACTTTCTCACAGACGCGCCGTCGCCTCCCTCTGTCTGTTCTACAAATACTTTCATGGAAATTGCTCCGAGTAGCTGCATTCAGTGGTTCCCAGTCGTCATGAGTTCCAGCGCCCTACCAGGCTGGCATCCCGCTCTCACCCCTTCACTGTCGAAACTCCTAAATGTAACCGTCTCTTCTACTCTAATAGCTTCATGTCTCACACCTCTTGCCTGTGGGACTCCCTTCCCTCCTCCTGTTTCCCTGTGAGCTATAATCTCCAGCTATTCAAGTGTAATGTCAATCGACATCTCCAGTTGTCTTAATCTATCCACTACCCTCATCCTTTCTTCTATCACTCCTATCTGATCTTGCTTTTTTCTGTAACCCCTTGCGTCCTAGTGGCTTCCTGCCTTGCTTGGGTTGAAATGCTTAAAAAAAAAAAAAAAAAAAAAAAAAAAAAGTTTCACCAACTTGATAGTGGACAAAGGAATGTTGGACATCCATGGAACAGGCATAAAATAGTAACCTCTCAGCAGTCAATGTGCCTCATATTAATTTTGAGCGAGTTGCCCTGGATAGAATTAACTGGAGATATTTGTGCCAGAGTGGTAGCAGAAATTCTGAAATTGGTTGTATTGACCAATTAAGATGAAGGACAATGGCAAAAAGCATTAGCAAATGTTCTGACATACTCGCTGCTGCACAAAATGCAAACTTCTATGCAAGTAACTAGCAGGATTGAAGTGTCACATACAACACAAACATAAAAACTGAATGAGGTTGTTGGATCTTCATATCAAAATTGACAGGAGAGTCCATCATATATATGTGTGTGTGTCTGTAGTTTTTGTGATAATACATGAAGTGGTTAATAATGACAAAGTGTAGATAAATATTGGAGTTTTACAGTATTTACATTAGTCGGACTATTGTCCCCATCTTTGTCTATATTTTGCCCCGTTTATACGCTCCGGCCTTCTTCAGGTGGTTGGAATTTCGAACTGAACCCTTTATTTTTATCGCTGGGGTAGACTGTTCTAATTCCACGTGCTATGTTTGATGGATGTCAGTTATCAGTTATCTCCTGCTAATTTTCCCTCTGAAAGTTCTCCACTGCCTTAACCAGGAATTGAACTCACCTTCTTTGGGTCTGTCACTGGACACATGGCACAGTGGATAAAGGCGTTGGTTAGATCCAGTGACAGACCCAAAGAAGGTGAGTTCAATTCCTGGTTAAGGCAGTGGAGAACTTTCAGAGGGAAAATTAGCAGGAGATAACTGACATCCATCAAACATGGCACATGGAATTAGAACAGTCTACCCCAGCGATCGAAATAAAGGGTTCAGTTCGAAATTCCAACCACCTGAAGAAGGCCGGAGCGTACAACGGCCGAAACGTTGTGACAAATATGGCGACAAAGATGGGGACAATAGTCCGACTAATGTAAATACTGTACATAATACCTCATCTCAGAAATATAGACACACATTGGAGTTTTACTGTAGATATATAATTACCATATATGTCAGTAACATTTTGATTAATTCCTGACCATTGACAATGCTTTTCTGTCTGACCTATTCTGTCAGCAATGCTTACCTGAAAACATGACCATTAACAAAGCTTCAATGCACAACATGCAAAGTGAATCACAAAATTTCCAAAAACAAATTTGTCTCAACATGAAAACTTCAGTGGTTTAATAAAATTTTTCTGTCCATTTATTAGTGTGTATGTGGTGCAAGGGTTATCATTAAAGAAAGCAAAACCAATGAACTGGGTTCAAACTCCCACCTAGCTTGTTGCATTCATTTTCACACAAATGTCCTTGGGAAAGGCATGAATCCATCTCTTCTCCCAACTCTGAGAGAAATAGCAGGGTATGAGCTCTTTAGCCCAGTCTAGAAGGAAAATACAAAAATGTTTAGATGGCAATGAGAAAACACTGTCTTTTTCAAAGAAGTTCTATCAATTCACAAATTATAAAGAAAAAGAATCTGTGGAGAGCCATGTTCTGAAGGGATAAGGCATTAAAGAGATAGATGTCAGCATAGTGAAGGAGTAGTGATAAAGTCAGTGGATGGTGTATAGACAGAAACCTTGCCTCTGTATACCAAGTTCAATGGCAGCTGGCATGAAAATGTAACAGATCATTATTTTCATCTTCTCTGAATTTGCCAGGTTATCACAGTGAATGAAAGTTTTGAGACATTTTTCTTTTCTAAATCCTACCCATGATATCACAGGTTCACATTCCTCCCCAGCATTTTGAACAGGAGTAGAAGTTTATCACTATTTAGGATTGAGTTTCCCATTCTTTCTAACAACTTTATACTTGTAATGTCTCCTTCTAAACAGAAATTTTAATTACTATTTATTTTTTTCTCAATAGGAGTAGATAGGCTTGCCTATTGTCCGGTTCATACTCCTCCCTGGCTTTTTCAACAGGAGTAGAAGTTTATCTGGTTTCCTGTTTAGGATTAGGTTTCTGGTTCCTTTTTTAAAGAGACAAAAAAAGAAAAGAGACAAAAGAAGACAAAAAAAAAAAAAAAAAAAAAAAAAGAAAGGTGATTATGGAGATAGGAATTTTGTTTTGCTTTCAGTGGTTTGACTGGCTTTCATTCCTGTAAAAATTATAATTCCACACTTATGTTTACTGTCTTTTATTTGTATAACCCAGGTATGGGCAACATTTTTCAAACAGTGGACTGCATGAGGCACAGTTCATCATAAGGCGGGCTGCACTATTAAAAATTTTTTTTTTCATAACAGATACCGCAGCCATTTTCCTAACAAAAGAACATGCACATAAGCATCTGCCCTAGAAATGGAGAAAAGTTAATTTGTTTTTCTTTAGAGAAATAAATTCCTTCTATAATTTAAAAAAAAGAAAAGAAAAAAAAAAAAAGAAAGAACGTAATGATATAATATCACTGATGACAGTGATTAACGCATGCTGCTGTGTGTGATTTGTTTCTAATTTATTCATTTCACAATGAAAAAACATTTTTTAAAAGAAAGATATTCTCTAGAGAAAAATTATTAACGTTTCTGGTTTCTGAAGCAAAAAAGTGTTTACCCTTATGATCTTCCTTAGTGAAAATTGCCAATGGTTTTAAGTGCTGACAATGCTACCTCCAACAAAATGTTACAAAATTCAAGACATCATGTACTTAATCATTGTTTATGTATGTGGCTATCAATAATGAACAAGTAAAGAACGAAAAAACAAAAAAAAAAAAAAACATTTTTCAGAATGCCAATTGAGCCATATGTGGCACGTGGGCTGCAGCTTGCCCATGAATGGTATAACCATTTCTCTCTGAACATAGGTGAAATCATCCATTACCAATGTGCAAACTCAGATGATGTATTTTCTCTGGATCTGTCAAAATGGCACCCTCCATTATGGCATCAACATTGCTGATTTCATCATGCTATACTGGGATCCAGATTTCAAGTTAACTTTATAATGTTAAATCTTCTCTTGAAGCAGAGCAGAAAAAAAAAGTGGGGGTTACAAATTTAATGCTTAAAAGCTGTCAGATGATGAAAGATACGTAAATCAAGGTTTCTACATAAAAAAATGTCAGCTTTATTCACAGAGAGAGAGAGAGAGAGCGAGGAGGGAGAGAGGATGTGAGTGGGACAAAGAAGTAGGTAGGGAGGGGTAAAAGAGAGACAAGCTTATCAAATGATTCTGTATGAGAAATTACAAATAAAATATTTGTTTAAAAAATGTCTGAACTCAACACCGTTTTTTTTTTTTTCTGTTAAATGTATTAAAAAAAAAAAAAAAAAAAATGTCGATACTGAGTTGTGAAGAGGCTTAATAAAGATTTTCTGAATTGGCAGAACGTGGCTTCTTTATCTTTTCAATGTTTTTCATGACAACATCATGTAGAGAGGCCTGCAAAGGAAGAATAAGTAAAATAAATAAAAATAGAAAAGAGTTCATATCAACAAGAAATGATCATTAGAATCATGTCTAGGCAATAAAAGACAGACAAAAAATACTTTATATTTTAAAAAAAGCATTTTGCAGGCATGAAAATTGGTTAGTGCATCATATTCTTGTAGTTTAAATTCGAAAGACTGTCTTAAAATTCCTTAGTAGACGTTAATTCTGAGTGACAACAAAACGTAGATGTTGTACTTGACGTATTGTTTTGCTGTTTGTAAACTAAATTCCTCTTCTCTCGCCGTCTTTCGTATTCTCCATTTAGTTTTTGTAGACTAAATTCCTCTTCTCTCTCCTTCAGATATTTTTAGTTTTTTGTAGACTAAATTCCTCTTCTCTACGCCGTCTTTCAGTACCTCCATATTTTTAGTTTTTTGTAGACTAAATTCCTCTTCTCTACTATATCTTTCGTACACTCCATATTTTTAGTTTTGTAGACTAAATTCCTCTTCTCTACTTCAATCTTTAATTACACTCCATATTTTTTAGTTTTTGTAGACTAAATTCCTCTTCTCTCATGCCTTTTATACACTCCATATTTTTAGTTTTTTGTAGACTAAATTCCTCTTCTCTACTTGCTCTTTCAGACACTCCATATTTTTAGTTTTTGTAGACTAAATTCTCTTCTCTATTAAATTCTTTCAGACACTCCATATTTTTAGTTTTTGTAGACTAAATTCCTGTTCTCTAAATTCCTCCATATTTTTAGTTTTTTGTAGACTAAATTCCTCTTCTCTTCTCTGCAAATTTTCATTACACTCCATATTTTTAGTTTTTTGTAGACTAAATTCCTCTTCTCTACCAACGTCTTTTCAGACACTCCATATTTTTTAGTTTTTGTAGACTAAATTCCTCTTCTCTCGCCTTTCAGACACTCCATATTTTAGTTTTTTGTAGACTAAATTCCTCTTCTCTTTTCAGACACTCCATATTTTTTAGTTTTTGTAGACTAAATTCCTCTTCTCTCAATCTCTTTCAACACTCCATATTTTTAGTTTTTGTAGACTAAATTCCTCTTCTCTCGCCGTCTTTCGTACACTCCATATTTTTAGTTTTTGTAGACTAAATTCCTCTTCTCTCTCTCTTTTTACCTCCATATTTTTAGTTTTTGTAGACTAAATTCCTCTTCTCTCTCATACCTCCATATTTTTAGTTTTTTATCTAGACTAAATTCCTCTTCTCTACTGCCTCTTTCGTACACTCCATATTTTTAGTTTTTGTAGACTAAATTCCTCTTCTCTCGCTGAAATCTTTCTACCTCCATATTTTTAGTTTTTGTAGACTAAATTCCTCTTCTCTCTTTTTCAGACACTCCATATTTTTAGTTTTTGTAGACTAAATTCCTCTTCTCTCGCCGTCTTTCGTACACTCCATATTTTTAGTTTTTGCAGACTAAATTCCTCTTCTCTACTTTTCAGACACTCCATATTTTTAGTTTTTGTAGACTAAATTCTCTTCTCTCGTACCTCCATATTTTTAGTTTTTGTAGACTAAATTCCTCTTCTCTCCGTCTTTGGTTATTCCATATTTTTTTTAAATTCCTCTTCTCTCTTTTAGATCCATTTTTTAGTTTTTGTAGACTAAATTCCTCTTCTCTTAAATCTTCGTCCTTCCATATTTTTAGTTTTTGTAGACTAAATTCCTCTTCTCCATTCGATTTTTTTTAGTTTTTGTAGACTAAATTCCTCTTCTCTGTTAAATTTTCGTACACTCCATATTTTTAGTTTTTGTAGACTAAATTCCTCTTCTCTCTCTGGTTTTCTTCGATTTTTTAGTTTTTGCATATTTTTCTTTTTGTAGACTAAATTCCATATTTTTAGTTTTTTTCTAAATTCCTCTTCTCCATTTCATTTTTAGTTTTTGTAGACTAAATTCCTCTTCTCTCTCAAAACTTTTCGTACCTCCATTTTTTTTTCTCTTTTCTTCTCTGTTCGTATTACTCCATATTTTTAGTTTTTGTAGACTTTGTTCTTCTCTATTTTTCATTACACTCCATATTTTTAGTTTTTGTAGACTAAATTCCTCTTCTCTCATTGTCTTTTCAACACACTCCATATTTTTAGTTTTTGTAGACTAAATTCCTCTTCTCTCTCTTGGAAATCTTTTCATTACCTCCATATTTTTAGTTTTGTAGACTAAATTCCTCTTCTCTCTTCCTCTTTTTCGTACCTCCATATTTTTAGTTTTTGTAGACTAAATTCCTCTTCTCTAAATAAATCTTCGTACACTCCATATTTTTAGTTTTTGTAGACTAAATTCTCCATATTTTTTTTTAGTTTTTGTAGACTAAATTCCTCTTCTCTACTTGCCTTTCTTCTCCTCCATATTTTAGTTTTTGTAGACTAAATTCCTCTTCTCCATATTTTTAGTTTTGCAGACTAAATTCCTCTTCTCTCACCGTCTTTCGTACACTCCATATTTTTTAGTTTTTGTAGACTAAATTCCTCTTCTCTCACCGTCTTTCGTACACTACATCTTATTTTCTCAACTCCCATCCTATGAACGCCATGATTCCGTGTTAATTTCTTTTGCCAGCTTAAAATAAACAATATATAGCTTTCACACGAGACTCTCTTTATGTACAGACGCCAATGAGATCATTTTTTTTTTTTATAACCACAATTCTCACATCATAAAGTGTGGGTTTTGTTCACGAGAGCTTCATCAAACATGGCTTCATGCCAAAATTAATGCAACAAAATTAAGGTATCAGCAGAGAAAGTGGAATTGGTAAGCCAAGTTCAAATCCTAGGATAGTCTGTTGCTTTCACTTTCTCAAAATAGTACTTAGAAAATAGTACTTTATTTCGATCATTGGGGTAGACTGTTCTAGTTCCACGTGCCATGTTTGATGTATGTCAGTTATCAGTTATCTCCTGCTAATATTCCCTCTGAAAGTTCTCCACTGCCTTAACCAGGTATTGAACTCACCTTCTTTGGGTCCTGTCACTGGATCTAACCAACGCCTTTATCCACTGTGCCATGTGTCCTTGAGGACATCTGGGTATGAACTTCTGAGTATTATAAACCTAATGTTTTCAGCATCATTTTTTACCAGTGCTCATATTGCAATTTTGCTTTTATCATTGCATGTCTTTACCAGAGTTCATATTGCATTTGTTATCATTATCAAGGTAAGACTTCAAGAACACCAGAAAGCTGTAATGCGAGGGGAAGTAGAAAAATCAGGCGTGGCTGACCATATATGGAGAGAGAAGGAGATCACCGCCCCTGTGGGATCATGTTGAGATCATAGACAGGGAACACCATTGGAAAATTAAAGAAACTTAAGGAATCAGCACATATGTTAAGCCACAAAAATCTCCTGAGCCAACCAAGCATAGAAATAAATACAATATGGGAACCAGTAATAAGGAGTGCCAGAGAAAAGCAATGATAACAATGTTGCAAATGGGCAAATCACACCAGTGTTATATTCCTAAATAAACTGGATAAAGGCATTGGTTAGATCCAGTGACAGACCCAAAGAAGGTGAGTTCAATACCTGGTTAAGGCAGTGGAGAACTTTCAGAGGGAAAATTAGCAGGAGATAACTGAAAATTGACATCCATCAAACATGGCACGTGGAACTAGAACAGTCTACCCCATAATAAAGGGTTCAGTTCGAAATTCCAACCACCTGAAGAAGGCCGGAGTGTACAACGGCTGAAATGTTGTGACAAATATGGCGACAAAGATGAGGACAATAGCCTGACTAATGTAAATACTGTACATAATACCTCATCTCAGAAATATAGACGGACTCTGGCTCAAGTGAAGCAGGTTTTTGGGCAAATCACACCAGTGTTATGTTCCTAAATAAACTGGATAAAATTTCTGAAGGAAGAAGGTTCCTTGGCATAAAAATGGTTCTCTTGGTATATTTTTTGTCTTTGGAGATACCTTTATTAGAGCAATAAAATAAAATAAAAGCAGAACTAATATAAAAAGAAACAATGCATACACCCCACGCCCCAGAAAAAAATATGTATTCCTGTAAAATGTTAATAGTGAAAGATAATAATTGAAAACAGTTCAACTTGTTTTTCAGACTTCTTTCATCAGAGGAAAAAAAAAAAAAGAAGTGCATAACGACTAAAATTATACAACTCGCTGGATCATTTACAATTGAGTAGTGGGTTAGATCCTCACTGGGTGCCCCATACTTTCGGTCTTGTTCCACATCTAAGCTACACTTAGAGAATTATCATCTGGGATTGTATAATTTTAGTCAAATTTACAAAAATAGAAAACAATGTTTCAAGACTTACATAGTGATTCCTGATTTCACAAGTCATAAGACGCAGGCTAATATATTCTTTCTCATCCAACTCTCGCACTGATTGTCTGTAGTCATCCTGAAAACAAATAATCAAAGGCAATTTTTACTAAAACTAACAAAAATCCCCCCCCCAACACTTTCAATTGGAGACAGACTGAAATATATATTGTATATTTTGAGATGAATTTATTAACATTCAATAACTTTTTTTTAAAAAAATCATTTATTTTCCAACCATCTTCAGGCAAAACATTCTGTATAGAATTATTTGAAGTGAAACTACTAGATAAGGAAGAACACTGGGGAGTTAGATGCCTGAACGAATCAGCATATATGCTAAAGGACCCCCTAAGTGGACCTAGCATAGAAATTAATAGGACATGGGATCTACTAATCAACAAACAAATCCAAATGACAAGTTTTCAGTAACAACAGCTGTAACAAAAGAAGTCTCAGTGAGTGCACTCAAGTAGGCAGGTGAGGTTTAAGGCTTCATATTAGTGGATTCAAAAGTTTGGTGACATAGTAAATAGGAGTTCAATTCCTGGGCCAGGCTGTATATACTTGGACACAGTTGAACTTGAGCAAGCAATAACTTAGCAGTATTAAATAAGATATCTCTAGATATGGACAGTAGAACAAAAACAATCTACTCCTGTAGATTAAATAAAGGGTTCAGTCTAAAAATGGAGGTTACCTGGGGGACCAAACAGAATAACAACAAAGATGAGGACAATAATCTGCACGTAAAAAAAAAAAGAAAAAAAAAAAAAGCTTTATTCCAAAAATTCAGACACAAATTACAGAATTTATTGTTTATTAGCTGTTTTGCATAACTGTCAAAGACTAAATGTGTTGGTGCGTCAACATACACCAAAGCCCTCACTCAGGTTTCCCCTGACCGGCCAATGACGGTGCCATGTTGGTATGCACCAAAAACTGGGAAAGGCACACTGCAGGTTCACAAAGAAATGAAGTGAGAACTCAAACCCTGTTTCCAATATATTTATGTTTTATTTGGATCTTTGCTTGCTTGTTCTGAGTAGATAGGTAGGTAGGTAGGTGACTTGTGGGTCTCCTGCCATGTCAAGCCAATTGATCAGCTCTTCACTTCAACAACACTTCTTACCAACTGTGAGAAGAGATGAATTCATACCGTTCCCAAGGGTATCTGTGTGAAAAAAGATGCAACAGTCTTGGCATCTCAATTCCACTTTCCATGTCAATAATGGCTAAGATTCACACTCGTCCCATATTTTATTTATACAAATTTTTCCTTTACTCCTCTTAACTTTTTTTCAATTTCCTCTGAATATAAAATGTTAGAGAGGAGGTGTTGACTGACAACTTTTATACATTAAAGAGATAATTCACAAGTTTTTCTGCTTTAAAAACTGTAGACTAGATTGAGAAATCTCTCCTTAACCATGTTGCAAATAGGAAAACTGGAAGAATGTTTTTTTTTGGGGGGGGGGGGTTAAACTATGATAATCTATGAGTTCCATTTGTTCAGATTCACTTTCAGCTCTCTTATAAAATTACCATCAAGAAAATTTTTGGCAATATTTAACCTTTGTACCCCCAAATAAATAAATCCCTTGACACTGCTATCATTTTAATTACATTTATTTATCAGCAATGTTTGTTTTAAAAAGCAATGATTAAAATTGTAATAAAAGCTAAACATATGAAAGTAAATGCATACATTTTTTTTGTTCTTGTGAATTTACAACCAAAATAATTTTATATTTACAATGTATTAAAACTAATGCAATGCAACATTTATTATTTACTAATCTATAAAAGAAATAAATATGAAAAAGTTTTTATTCATAAATTTATAAACATTTACTAAATTATTAGAATATGTGAACCAACTATAAGGGAATCCTTAATATTTACCAAGTTTGAATTGCTTGGCAATTAGCCAATGTTTTGTCAACAATATACTCACATATAAGCTGATTTCATGTATAGTGAAACCCCTAAAATTTCTGCATAAATTTTACCCAACACCCAAAAATTTACATATGTATAGTGTAGCCAGTCACAAAAAATGCATGATTTTTAACTTTTAAAAAAAATTACCTGTGTATATTGCAACCCCATAATTTCCATAAACTAATATAAAAACTCTAGTATATATGGTAATAGTGTAAATAATATTGTTGTCAATTCTCAAGAATAAAGAAAAATTAATTTTCATATGTTTAGGTTTTAACACCATTTTTTCAGACATGAAGGTTAAAGATTATCATTTTTTTCCAGGTAAAAAAAAAAAAAAAAAAAAAAAAAAAAAAATAAAAGAAATTTCTACTTACTATATGAGGATATTTTGCAACTTTTGAGACAAGTTTTGCTCGTGTAACAAAATAACGAGAAATCATTTCCAGATAAGAAGCAGATTCTGTTTCTACTTGACGAGCTTCAGCCAAAGTATCTTCCTGAAAAACAAGAAATTTTGGGAAAAAAAGAGTAAAATTAGAAAATTTATTATTATTGGGTAGTGCACTTGTTGTCAGTATGGGAAGTGGAATTGGCATGACTAGCTCAAATCCTGATCATGCTTCATTCATTTTTGCACTAATGCCCTGGAGAAAATGCATTAATCCATTTACTACCAGCTATGGGTTAAATAATAGAGTAGACTGGACTCTTCAGCCTTAGTAAGGAAAAAAAAAAAAAAAAAAAAAAAAAATCAAAAATCAACCTGAAAAAGAGTAGGTGCCATAAGTATATCCTACCCAAGAGAAATCCACAGCCGCTATGGTTTCAGTACATGTGAGACATGTAGGAGTTATACAACTTGTGATCACATTTCATTGTTTACAAATTAATGTAAATAATGACAGCCCTTCATACTTAAAATTAAAACAGAAAGGTATTGTCATATAGTGTAAATATAATATCAATATTTTAACAAGGTGATCAGAACTCAGATACATTCCCTGAAGCAACTTATGCCAAATACTAACATCATAAGTGCGACTAGATAGTAGAAAAGAATTTGTAATATACATACAGAACCTTTTTGCATTTACCTGAATCAATTATGGGCAAAATCTATTCTGAAGTTAAAAAAGTAGTCAATACATTTGGAACTTTCAGATGGTTCTGTTTTCTTTATATATCTTTTTATATCTGTCTATATTTCTGAGATGAGGTATTATGTACATTGTTTATATTATTTGGACCATTGTCCTCATCTTTGTTGCCATATTTATCACAACGTTTCGGCCCTTCAGTATCTGCCTATATTTCTGAGATGAGGTATTATGTACATTATTTGGACTATTGTCTTCATCTTTGTCGCCATATTTATCACTACGTTTCGGCCGTTGTATGCTCCAGCCTTCTTCAGGTGATTGGAATTTTGAACTGAACCCTTTATTTCGCTCACTGGGGTAGACTGTTCTAGTTCCATGTGCCATGTTTGATGGATGTCAGTTATCAGTTATCTCCTGCTAATTTCCCTCTGAAAGTTCTCCACTACCTTAACCGGGTATTGAACTCACACTCTTTGGGTCCTGTCACTGGATCTAACCAACGCCTTTATCCACTGTGCCATGTGTCCTTGAGAATCTTTTTATATATTATCTTGTACACACACACACACACAGAACTCCAGTCCCACTTTATGTCATTCCATTCCTCCACCCAAAAATGCATATGTGCCTTTTCTTTCATATTTAAATTTCCCTCATTTTTTGGAGGAGGTGGGTCTTTCATTTTATTTCCCCAGTTTCCATTGTGTGCAATTGCAATAGCAATTGAGCTATTATATATTTTTCTAAAGATATATATATTTCAAGACATTTATGTCTATACATTCTTTTTATAGATACAAATTTTTAAGTAAATGCTCTGTTTTATAATAAACAGTATTAATAACATTTACCGGCCTGAATGTTAGAGAAATTTTCATAAAAAATATTTGTTCGCCAACAGGAATCGAACCTGTATTCTATACAGAAAAGTCATTTAGCCTGATGAGCCACTGAGAATTGTTCTATTAGCAAGGTCGATTTTTACTGTTTTTAAACTTCAATCTTCCATGAATCAGACAATCTCTTAAAATAAGGGAAAGCAAACATTATTCAATTGAGAGTCACGTCTTTTTTTGTTGCTTATTAGACATTTTGGGGTCAAACTGCACAAATGTTTAAGAAAATGGTTTAATATTTAATACATTATTATTAATGAGATTTGTACAGCCAAGAAAAATCTTTCACAATCATAAATTCTTGATAAATCACATGAAACATTTCTAGTGATGCAGAGAACACAGCTGTTTGAGGTTTCCTACAGACCCACTGAACTTAAATAAAGTCAATTCAGGTTTCCTATGGTAAAAATTTTCTTTCCCAAGTGAAAATCATCACAAAAATAGCAAAAGTCATTTTGTCACAGCTTATTTTCTCTCAAAATATGGGTTTTCATACTTTTTTAGGGTAAAATATTGAAAAATGACTGTTTTATCATCACCTAAACGAATATCAAGGAAACTTTTGATCTGAACCCCATGAAACTAGGTATTTTCTGAAAGCAAAAGATATATTCTTTCATTTAAAAGTAAAATTAGCTGGTGTAAATGACTCAAAAATTTTTTTCAGTGGGTAAAATGTGAAAAAATAGTGAAAATTTTTTTGCATTTTTTTCTTGTTCTAAACAAATATTTCCCCCATTAATGGAAATTAACCATTTTTTTTTTTTTTTTTTGAAATCAGAAAGCCTAGATCATAATCAAACTATTTCAGGCATAAAATTGAGAGTTTTGAAGGAAATCAACATTCCTAGGGGTTCAAAAAAATGCGACAAAAATCCATTGTTAATTTTCAATTATGACTGCCAAGGGTTAAAAAAATTGACACCTGGCCACGGAAATCTTTAGTAAAAGGCAAGAGATTTATCTGCAATTCCTAACCACCAGAAACCAAAAAGTTTTTTTTTTTTCCTAAAAATAGTGATAAGGAAAATAAACCTAATTGACTTTGACGTCTAGGTCAAAGGCCAGCCAGCCAGCCAGCCAGCCAGCTAGCAATAAACGGACGGCAAACCTTAGAACAAGTTGTAATAAAACCCACCACTCCCAGATAAAAGCAAAGGGTGAATAAAAAAGGGTTCACAATTACTAGGGCTTCATATAACCTATGTTTGAACAATGGCTTGATAAGTTTTGTTTTGTTTTTAACACCCCGTGACCCGGGTGATGACAACAACACTTAGCAGACAACATTGTTTTTTTTTCGCCGCATATCTTTTTTGTATTTCCCATCGCCGTCCATTTAGCCTTTCTTTTTATTCAATGATGTTCATGCCAAATGAAAGAGAAAGGAATGAATTTTGAATGATGTTATTTTGAAGCGAAAATGAATATTTTTTCATTAAAAAAAAGGATTTTTCTCAGAAAATTGTGCATAATTTCTTAATGCTAACCGCCGAAAGTGACATTTTCCACAGCCAAATCAAGATTAATTACCAGTGAATAATTCCATGTGCAAAAAATAGCCGTCTGGATCCTATAAAGGTCGCCCTAAAAGGTCCAGAAGTTTACTAATTGATCGAAAACCTGTTAATGATAATTGTATTTTTCACGGTCAGTTTCCATTATTTCATCTTGATATTATCATTTTCGGACAGCCAAGTCATCAAGGATTCAGGAAAACACTTTGACATAGGTTTTCTTTAAGAACTTTACATTCTATGAGGTGTTTAAAATGTTACTGACGAATGAGATTTTTTGCCGCATATTTCGTTTACGCGCCATGTTGGATTTTCCTATATGACAAAAACAAGGGTTTTAAACAGCTGTGAGAAACAATGTCAAGTGCTTATTTCCAACTGATATATACACAGGCAACTCTCATGATTAGTCATTGACGTTGCTACAGCATTGGATGTAGCCATCCACGTGGCTGTGGCAGTACAAGGTCTGATCAAAAAATATTGGGACAGTTGCTATGGTAACAGAGCCATAGTATGCAAAGTGAAATTTCAACAATTTCTGTTATGCCCTCTAAACAAAATAAATTTTTAAATTATCACAAATTATGTAAACTATTACTGATAGAATGGGCAAAATTAAGAAAACAAGTGATACTTACCTGGATAGACACACCGAAATTATTACCGTCTTCAATTTTTGGTATAAGGAAAGAAATCCACATTTTCAACTAGAAAAAGAAAATTGTATTTCAAAGAATGTTGATTATAAGAGCTATTTTTTGAAGATAAAATTGGTATTTTCTAAGTTTAGCTTAGGCAAAAGTATGGAGAACCCAGTGATAATAGAACTCACTATTCAGTAATGATAGGAAACCAGACTAGCTCTTTAACTATTACCCAGTGATGCTGATAGCTTTTTCATGTAGTGAGTTCCCAGAACCCACAGGTGGTGATTTAAGTGGGTCCCAGGAAATACAGTGGGTCCAAACTAATGTTTCTTAATTTTAGTGTTAAATTACAGGGCTTCAGACTGAAGTTCGTTTTTTTTTTTTAAAAAAAAATCATTGCCCTGAAAAACAATTTTATCATCCTGAATTGCTTCGACCACAGAAAAGTTTTTTTTTTTTTTTTTTTTTTTAAATTGAATAAATTCAAAACAGAAACAGTATTTACACTTAATCACAGTTCAATTAAAAAACTATATTTATATTTCTAATTAACAGAAAAGTTTTTTTTTTTTTTTTTAATTAAATCAATAAATTTAAAGCAAGATCTTAATTACACTTTAACCTTTGCCACGCTAGAATTGTCCTAGAATTCTAGAATTGTTATGTAGTGGTTGCCACTGCGTTTTTTAAGGGTGCAAAAATATAAATACTGGTTTTAAAATTGTTATAACTTTCTTTTATTATTATGATATAGATTTTAATTTTTGTACACCAATAAAAGAATGAATGAGTAACATTTTTGATGTAATGCATTACATTTTGCATGCACGTTTTGACATTGAAAACAAAAAACATGAAATGTGAAATAAAAAACAAATATATTAAAAAAAAATTACATAAATAATTCAACATACTTTAACTTTTATTATTCCTTGTGGAGTTCTGGGTTGCAATAAGAAGCAAAATTGCTAAAAAGGCTTTCATTTCGTCCAAAAATTGACGTCTTTTATGTTTACAAACAAGAAGACACTAACATTTGTTTGCTCTTTCTTTCACCTGACTCATAATCATGTCTCGTTGACAAATAAAGTTATTATTTCGTCATTTATAAATAGACAAAATAATTCACCTTCAGAAAGGCTATCAGGTATATCGATGGTCACCAGTTGCTTCCATAAAATTACTCGGGCACGAATAATAGTAGCCACTAGTGGTCATCACTTTCCTTCACGTCACTAGCATGGTTATCATCTCAGATGACTTCACCATCAATATCCACTTGAATAAAGCCTTCAAAATCATTATCGGAGTGTTAAAGAAAACCTCCTGAATAAAAGATGTTAGATATTGATGTGGCCATTTTTGTTTACAAAAAATTGCAAAGAAATTAATATGGGTTTAATCAATGTTATGCCTTGTGTAGAGTCTAGAAGAATTCAAAATGACATTGGAAAAAAAGAAGTTTAGCCTTGTTCCAAAGCAATAATAGGATATTCTCAGCTTAAAACACCGGAAATAACAGTTGACAAGGGTTTATTTATAGCAACTGTCTCAGGTGACAGAAGTTGCCAATAGTAGTAAGGGAGAGAATTCTATGGCGACTATTGTCGCCTTCAGTGTGGTCAAGGTTCAGAAACTATTTCTTGTTTTAAATTATAACAGAACAAAATGATTTTTTAAAGTGATACAAAAGTTTTTTTTTTTTTTTAAATTAATAAATTGGGTCTGCTGATTTTGGTTTCTTATCAAAAATGAATTAAATTAGACAAACATTCTTTTAAAATTTTTTAAGTAATCTCCCTTGAGTCAGTTTAGAAATTTGGGTGTAATTAATCAGTGATACTCCCGACTTGCATCTGCATGATACAAAATTTAAAGATACTTTTTCTGTAACATAAATAGCACCAAAATAAATTATCTAATAAAATAGAGCTAAGTATACTGTATATGAAAAAAACATTGCACAAATCCAAAAAACAAAATGGTGACTGTAGTGCCAAAATAATAAGAATGCTGATTTTAACATCACCTTGACAGAATCTACAGTGTCACCAAGATCTTTCTGTTTGAAAATCATCAACTAAATCAAATGTGATTTTAATTGAGGAGAAAATTAACCCAGTAAATTACAATTAAATATTTAGCACAACAATGAAACTTAACTAAAAATAGTGGAAAGTATGTTAAGAAAGATCAAATGATCATATTTGTGGTCTATCATGAGCAGATTAATGTGAATCAACTCAATAACATTTGTTTGTTACTTGTACTTTATAGTGTATAGCTTTCTTTGTTTTATTCCTTTCCATTTAGCCAGTGCATCTTTAAAGGTCCTCAGATTGATCCCAAGAAACTGCTCTTAAATTCTGATAAGAGTTGAGGATAAAGAGACGTGAAGAAAACAAAAGAAGAAAGTGGTATTAATATAGCATAAATAAATTGTTCATCAAGGAAGGAATTTGGAGCTAAAGGCATTCAAATAAACTCACCATATTTGTGTGGTCGACCAACTGTCGAATGATTGGTTTTAAGACTTGGATAAGACCAGAAATTTCCTTATTGGTGGGAATCGAACCATTTGGTAGATAAATCACTTTTGAACCAGCAACTGTATAAAAAAAAGGAAAAAAGTGTGTAGTGATAATTGGAACAAAAATATTCTCCCACCTGATCACAAACGGCAGCATATATGTTCCATGTGCAAGGTTTATCTTTTTGAACGGAAAAAGAAACATGGCCGCCCCCAGCAAGCTTGTATTGCGAATGGTCACATATCCTCATGCGGACAGTCCCATAAAGCCACGGAAAGAAGGAAGGCAGAAAAGGAGATAAAAAATGCTGAACACCGGCGTCTGTGCAGTTAGAAAAATGGAGTCTCTTCTGTAACGTGGAAGGAGAATCGTGTAAAGGAGAAAGCAGAGGCGCAGAAGAAGATTATTGAGAAAATTGAAGGAGTTTATCAGTCGTTGCAATTTTACACCAGGCGTATCAAGAAAATAGTGTGTTTGCTCAGGAAGTTTCGTCAGACGTCGCGGATTGCAACAACTACAAAGTGTTTATTTATAGCAACTGCCACAAGGCAACAAAATGAGCCTAGAACAGCAAAAGGAGAGAATTCTACAGCAACAAATTTAGCAGACAAGGTCTCCTTAGAACAATAATAAAAGTGTTAGCACTTTATCAAAAGATTTACGAGGTGTTGACAAGCACTTAATTGTGTTACTGTTTGTTTTATAAATCCATTTCTCCATTATTTTAAACTTAAAGTAATTTTTTTTTTTTTTCTCCAAAATCAGCTAGTATTTCTCAAATAAAATTTCAGAAAAAATGTATTTTATTTTTGGAAGATTTTTTAAAACAGGGAATTAAAATTAAAATTTGTTTATAAATCTGTCAAAAATAGCTGAATTAAAACAATTTCTGAAAGATAGCAAAAAGTTGAGATTTTAATCAATATAATTTCTATTTGAAATACACCAGAGTATTTTGATTACAGGAAATAATAAATGTAATCATTTAGCTTTCAATTAAAGCTAAAAACAAAGCTTCAAGAATAAAATTTCATTCTAAACTAAGGTATTGAAACCGAGTGGAGGTACCTATCGAGTTCCTCAGTCTTTAGTGTAAAAGAAACTGATCATAAAAAAAAAAAAAATATTGCATTATACTCAAATATATACAGTAAACAAATAAAACACGATAAAAACAAGATAAAGTATCAAAAAATGTTTTCATTCAGTTTTTAGTGACAATGGCAAATACAAGTTCAAATTTCTTTAAGTGTTAATACATGATTTCATTAACAAATATGAAATTAACACTTGAGTCATAAAACCTTTGATATTAATAATTAACTTTAATATTTTAATGTCATGTGTAAGCAAAACTTTTCTTTTGCCTCTTTAAGCAAGATTTATTATATCTGGAATATCTCCAGTCACAAAAAGATGAAAGAACCTATCTCTGTAAAGAAATCTCAAAGAAAACAAAGAACATGTGATACTTACTGGAATCAACATCTGTATGATTTTCATCTAATTTTCTCTTCTTTGAAGGCTGCAAAAGAATTTCAAATTATGTAATAATTTTGTATTTAATAAAAATAAAATAAAACTTGTTGAAACATTTAGAAATTCTCAAGAAACATAGCATAAACTTGATAACTAAAGTAATTGTGCATTTGCTACTAACAATCGAATTTAAACTAATGTAAAAAGCAAAACTTGCAAATACTGATTTTAAAACAGGTCCTAAAGTAAATGCAAAATGATTTGACACTAGATGACCTAGTACCCAAAATAAACTTAGATAATACCTATCATGGAAGATTTTATTATTTAGAGACTAATGTCACCCATCTTTGTTGTTGTTATCATAATGTTTTGACCATTGTTCCCTTTAAGCTCCTTAAGGTATCTGCTGACCTATGTAACCTTCAGGGAATTTCAAACCAAACCCTTTCATCTGCAGAGGGTAGATAGTTCTTACATCTGAGTCTAGGAATATATTACCTTGTTTTTTTTTTTTTTTTTATTACTGCTCACTTATTGCTACCCGTTTCCAGTCAGGACTTCTACCTGGATTAGGGATTGAACTGTAAATTACTATGCCAACACATTCATTGAATAACTAAAACACTGGTGATAACAACAAAAGATTGGATCATTGGTCTGAATGTAAATAATGAGAAATTCAAACATAAAAAGTCATTAATGTAAATTACAGTAATGTTCCATTTGATAGCCTGTTCCCATTTCTTTTACAAATATTTTTAAATAAGAGACCGCATCATAATTTTCAACTCGATTCTCTGGTTAATGCAAAGGAGAATAAACATACATATAGTGTTACGCGCTGATAATTGTAACAAAGGAAAAAAAAAATGATTTACCACAACACAGAGCTAAATCACAAACAAATATTTAATTTACTAAAACAGAACATAAAATATATACAGGATAAACAATTGTGTCCTACAAAACAGAAAACACAGAGTTACTGGCGGAGTGTTACGAGGAAGAAGGAAAGGGAATTAAATATCTTTATCACTTTAGGGCTAGTGAAGTAATCTAAGTGCTATATTTGGAAATCCACAAAGGTGTGTAAATAAATATTCATTTTTTGTTTGGTCAATGAAAATCAGTCAAAATTCTATTTACCAAATTTGTTCCATGAAATTCTCTTTTGGATTTTGGTTGGTCGGCAACTTTTTATAGAGATTCTTTCGGCTGAATATAATAATCCTTGAATCAAAAAGCCAGTGTTGATACAGGCAACAATTTCCTTTCACCAACTAACTACCCTTTTCCAAAATCCCATTTTTATAGGGGCTAACACCTAATTTGCATATTTCTAGATTTTTCTCGAATATACTAGAATGATCTAGAATCTTCCAAACATTCTATTTCTAATTTCTCTATTTTACAACTACTTCATCAATGAAAACTTTTTTGTAATAATAAGTAGAACTCAATGGAATCCCTTATTATAGAAATGCATCCTCGTAACAATAGACACACAATAATTGATCCTGTGTTATATGTTGATACTGCTATAACAAAAATGCAACCATCTCGCAAAACTTGCTGTCTATTCAAAGGGTCAAAGTTCATATGTCCATCACTTCTTAATTGTTTTAATTTCTCTCACTTAAAAAAAATAAAATAAAATTGTCAAGCTCATATTACTATTTAGTTCAGTGTTTCTTAACTGGTGTTCCCTGGAACATGGGATTCCGCAATAAACAGTGATAAATATGCTAATGTATTTTTGAGCAATTTTTGTTTAATTTTATTATACATGTACAGCATATTGTTGGAAAATCTTTGGTTATTATAATAAAGGCTTTAATCAAATATAATAATCATAGGGAATATATATATATATATATATATATATATAAAAAATTGAGTGAAACACTCAAGTACAGGATAAGTGTCTATATATTATATTTGTCATGTAAACTATGATAAAAATAGAAAAAAAGATAGATATTAATAATGGTATATAATATTTTTTATGCAGGGGGTTGCTCGAGACAAGAAAATTATTTCAATGGTAAAAATGTCGAGAAACAGTGATTTAGATTATGAAAATCCCATGTTTCTGTTCCTTGATCCATTTTTGTTCATATTATTTAGTTAATGTTTATCTAAAATATATAACTACTTTTTTAAAAGTTTATTTTTAAATAATTTTTAACAAGTTATGCAGCACTTATTTCGATTAACTGCATTACTTCAAATGATTACTTTGGCCTTCTTTTTTAAAATCATTCATCCCAAGCAAAAAAAGTCACTAACATGCAAGAAGTTACCAAGTATAAAAGAATCTAAAGAAAAAAAAAATCATTTAGAGAGAGAGCAATAAAAGAACAGGAAGATACCTGATGATGGTGATGATTGACATTGCATTTAGTGTTTGAAGATTGAAATTGTGTGGAAAGCAAGAAGCTGGAAAAGATTTCCATAAATGAGAAGAGTGAGAAAAACTGTTAACATAGAACTTATAGTTGCATCTTGCAATTCCAACAGTAAAATGATAAGAACTAACTGCCAATCTAATACTAAAAATAATATTATGTATACTATATATCATGAAATAATCAAAAACAAAAAATTAACGTAATAAAGTATGTTCAACAGATGTTCTTATTTCAAATTCCTGCCGACACTTGTTTCTTGTTTTCTGCTCTAACATCGATTTTGAATTTAGACTTGTTTACATCTGTGCTCTGCTGTTGATGCTCTTTCAATTACATTTCAATTGTGATTTATAATACATTTTTCTCTATGGCTATGAAGAAAATTCCCAATGCAAGTGCTAATGTTAAATGTAAGATATATCACTGGAAGATAAGGTGGAAATTAATTATTTTATTGATAATACTCTACATACATATAATAAATACTGTAATAGGCAATGGGGAGTGCTTATTCGTGGTTATTTTGATTTAAGTTGTGATCTCTGGAACCACTTAATGACGTATGGTGAGGTATACCTGTACTGCACTTAAATTAATAACATGGAGGTACCAGAAAGGAAAGCTCATCAGAACAACTACCATGAAAATTATTATAGAAAAACATAAGGAAGCTATATTATATTGGTAGGAAAGTAACTGAAGCCAAGATGTTAGGTCTGGATTGATAACATTGCATATTCGGCTTTGAATTTATCAAGCACCTGTAAATAAATAGCAGAAGCGCCAGACCAGATCTAGCAGAAATATTTAATGTTTGAATGAATGGTGCAAGAAAAATTATCTAGCACAAGATAGTGAACCAACTTTCTTCACAACAGATTCTTCCCTAACAACCAATTCAAGATAATATTATCACTTCATGTCAGTGGAAAATGTTAGCCTGAGAAGGTGCAAGGAGTCATTCTTCTGGAGGTTAGCATACTGAAGAAAGGCCAAAAAATAAGGTTTTAGAAGACAAAAAAAAAAAAAAAAAAAAAAGTTTGTTTTGGAGGTGTTAAAATGAAACCATTTCTTGTCCCAATTAACAAGAGATTGAAGACCATTTTTGAGATCTGACAATTTGACCATATCAAACCAATTAGACTTACCATTCTCACAAGAGTAAATAGTTGTGTCATCAGCATAGATACCAAGTCAAAAACTGATAACATCTGGAAGATCAGTGATGAAAATTAGAAACAACATAGGTCTGAGGACGGAGCCTTGAATGACACCCACTAAGATCGAGAAGAGTGGTCATTGAAGACAACTTTTGAAAAAAAAATCAAAATTTTGTTCAACTTGCCAAAGCTTGTCAAATGCCTTCAAAATATCCAAAGCAACCCAAGCCATATCATTCTTATCAAAAGCTTGACAGAGCCTTTCAACAATAACAGTTAACACATCAGCAGTGGACCTCCAAAGACATATTGCTTGTCTGAAAGAAGACCCTACGAGGTGAGATGCTTAACTAATTCAGAGTTGATCAGAGCATCTAGCTCCTTGACAAAGAGTTAGAAGATTAATAGAAGGATCAAATGGTTCACCAGAGTTCTTAAAGACAGGCACTACATAAGAGGATTTTCAATAATCAGGATAGCAAGAAGCAGCAAAACATTTATTGTAGGATTTAGGGAGAACAAAAGCCATTTCAGGAGCACATTTCTTAAGGACTATTGTAGGGATATGATCAAGTTTGCATGCTTTGTGGGAGATATGAGCAAAACCATGGATATATGCATATCACACAGTAAAGAATTAGTACTAAGTGGAAAGTCAGGCAAATATGCTCCAGATGAGTTAAGAGTAGAACTGAAAGGAAATTTATGAGCAAGCACTCCACTTTATCAAGAAAATATGATAACACCTCAAACTGAGTAAAGAGAAGGAATAGAGGATTTATTTTAATGTAATGCACTATTACAAAGCCACCAATAGTCATGAGAACCAAACTTGTTGGACGCTAAATTGTATAGTCAGAAAAAGTGATTACTGTGGGCTATAGCAGCTGAACAGGCAGGTGTAAACCAAGAAAATTGTTGTTTCACCTGGTATTTTTGAGAAGGTACCAAAACATCAATGCCAGATTTTAGCCCAAAAGAAACCTCAGTGGCACAATTCACAATAGAGAGATTAAAATTACATTACAAGAGGTGTTGCAAAGAAAATCACAAAATGAATTCCAATTGGTACACTTGCAATAGAAAGAAGTCTTGTGAATAGGGGGTTCATGTGTAATAGCCATGTCAAAAGTAATATCAACAAATAATACAGCATGATCTAAATTGCCAAGAGAACAGAGTTGCAATACTCAACAAGAGCCAGCAAGTAAGGAAAAAAAAAAAATCAAATAAAGAAGCATGTTGATCAGAATTATTAGGGAAATGAGTAGGAAAATCTATTTGATAATGAGACTGAGCAATGGAAAAATGGAAAGTTTGAATCCTGGCAAAAATCAGTGACATTACAATGATCAAGTCAGTTCTATTTTGTCTATGTTACAGTCCTGAGAAAAGGTGATCGATAAAGGAAAGAGATAGCTAACAGAGTGCAATAAAGAAAGTCGAGAGGACATGAAAGAATCATCTGGAGACTGAAGAGATGATTCCTTTGTCATTGGAAGATTTTCCTAGATGTAAACACTAAAGCCAACTGGAACACAATATTCATTGGTAATGACATAAATGTTTAAATTAGTTTCACATAGCTCTAAGTTATCTGGAGAACATTTCAAGAGAAAACATTCTGTGTTACAAAACCAATCCAAATACCACAAATATTGAAGAAAGGTTGAGTGGGGTAGGTGAATTTTTTTGTCTACTGGTTTACACACATTTCGTTTTAATTGTAACTGTCATAAGATTATTATAATTTTTTTTTTAAAGAGAAAAAAGCCAATTATGTGCATTGTCTATGGCAATACAAACCAGACAGAAGGTGGCATAATGTGGCTTCAGAGTTGTCCACAGGAAATACATACTTGGACACATATCTATGAGTGATGTGGCACTACAAATACCCCAATATCATACCACTGTTGAAAAGTAGTGTCTCTAAGTGCTACCAAAGAGTTTGGGCTCCTTGCTACCAGTTAGGATGCAGCAATCAGCAAACTGCTAACCCTCAGAATGAAAAGTCACAGAGACTTATTAGTCAGGTCACCAAAAAGTTAAGACAGTTAAATCATTAAGGCCAAAGAAGAAAGGAACTGGTAAATAACATCTCAAACAGGAAACAAAGGATAAACCTCTACTCCTGTTCAATAAACATTGAAGGAGTATGGGCCAGGTGATAGGTGAATCTATCTTGTCTTATTAACTAATTCACAACACAGGAAAGCTGGGTACTTTCATTGAGAGACCATCTCTAGGAAGGTTGCTGAAAAAGGCTCTAGACACCTTCCAGGTCAAAGAGGAATTACTAAAAATTTTTGAATTCAGAGTTGTCTTTCTACAGCAGTTACCACCCAAGGCTATAGGACCCAGTCTATCCTGCTATTTACAAGAATCTCATTAGAAACTAAATTTCCCAAAAAGACTTGATACCTTAAGGCACTCCAAAGTCTGATCATCTCATTTGTTCAAAATGTTGTTTTAAAAAAGATTTTCTGTTGCAATTGTGTTTTTTTTTTTTTTTTTTCAAAAATGCCTTTTCCTTCCATCAGCATGGCTGATGCTAACCGCCAGGAGAGTGATTCATTGTGCTTTCTCAGACTAATGTCTTCCACTGACATGAAATGGAAAGATTATATCGAGTTAATTGCTATGCCTGCTGCTAGTAAAGTTGGTTTTCTGTGTCTTGCTAGACAATTCTTGCCAGAATCTATCTGATATATTTATAAGTCTACCAATCACCCTTGCTTTGAATATTGCTGCCAAGTCTGGTAAACCTGCTATATATTTAGAGAGTCTTTATAAAATCCAAAGAAGAATCTGCAATGTTAGTGGTCCTGACCTGGCATCTTGGTTTCAGTCACTTTCCTACCATTGTAATTAAGTAGCTTCCCTACTATGACTTTTCTATAAATGCTTTCATGGTAATTGTTCTGGTGGGCTTTCCTTTATGGTAACAATATTTATGAATTTAAGTGTAGTACTAGATTGTCGGCAAGATTTCATCATTTTAAAGTCAAAATGGCTTTAAGTAAGTGTAAATTCTATGCTAACAGTTTTCCCCACACTTTTCACTTGTGGAACTCTCTTCTGGCCTGTTGCTTCCTAGTCAACTTTGATCTTCAAAAATTTAAATGCAATGTCAATTATTATCTTGTCTTCTTAATTCAAGTTCTTTTACTGTTCTCCCCCCTTAATAGAGTTTTTTTTTTTGTTGTTGTTGCATTCTAAAATACTCAGTGACACCCCTACCATCTTAGTGTCTTTAATGTCTTGATGGTGTGGAAAGATAAAAAAATACAACCAACCCTCATCCCAAATTAAAATGGTTTTGTTTTATAAAGCACACATACTTACTGACTAAATCCCACATCAAAATGAATGTTTAAAAAAAAAAAAAAAAAAAAAAAACAATTATGTCCAATTCACTTTACCTAAACACAATTAAGGTAGCAAATTAGTTTTGCATATGCTGTGTTCAGCAGAGGAGAGGCATATTCAACAACACTACAACAAAAAAAAAAAAAAGTTTTTTTTTTTTTTCTGGAAATTATTAACTATATCATATCCAAATATTTTACAAATAATTAGAGCTGATTACACAATATTTTAAGCTCAATTTAGGTTCATATTTTGTAATCATGCAATGAGATGAGGTAACATAAACTGTAGATTTGTCTGTGGAATATCATTACATTATTGTTACATAATTATAGTGAAATCATTAAGTTTTTTTTTTATCAAAAGCATTTTATTTTTGGTTGTATATTAATTTAAAATATTCCTTTTTCAAGCTTAATTTTTACAATGGAATAATGTCATTCTACATTTCAGAATTCACTATTCTCATAATTCTAGTCTAACATTTTAAATCTATTTTTTCTAATTATTGTACTGTTCTTTCACAGTTGCTTTTTTTTCTCTCCTTTCAATTTCCAGCTCAGTCTGCCATTGTTGCAACAAAGACACGACAACAGTACAAGGGAAATAACATCAGTGAATACAATGTTACAGACAATAATACAATTTGGTACACTATACAGGAAACTAATGATTTTTATAGTCATGCATTGAATATTACTGCCACATCTGATCTGATGCTTCTGCTATACATTTAAAGAATCTAGATAAAATACAATGAAGAATCTGCAATTGGTCCTGACATCTCCGCTTCAGTTATTTTCCTACCACTATAACATAATTCCCAGCACTTTTTCTATTGAGGTTTTCATAACTGCTCTGATGAATTTTGGTATCTAGACTTTATGAATTTAAGTGTAGCAAGGCGTCATCATTTTACAGTTGAAATGATGAGATGTAGCCCTAAGTTCTATGCTAACAGTTGCTTTTCTCACTTGTGGGACTCTTCCAGCTTCTTGCTTTCCAGTCAACTTTGATCTTCAAAAATTTAAATGCAATGTCAATTATCTTGTTTTCTTAATTCTTGTTCTTTTATGATTCTCTCTTCTTAATGCCCTCCCCCCATAGTCTCCCACACTCAGTAGCTCCTTGCATTTTAGTGGCTTTATTGCCTTGATTGGGATTTAAGAAAAAAAAAAAAAAAAGACTTAACCAGATTTGCAAAGAAAGGGAGTGGGACAAACACAGGCTTGACAAATGACAACCTGGAATTAAAGGTAGCAGAAATGGGAAAAAAAAACGAAACAAAACAAAAAACAAACCACACACACATTGTAACATTGGCACTTACCAATTCATCAACTGCAATAGGATCAGGGACGGGCACATTTAAATCACAATGGATGTCATTTACTCTCTCAAGAGTCAGTGTTTTGAACAAATTGTCCAGTTCCACCACTTTGCGTGGAAAGACATCTTTAATAAGAACTTCACCCTGAAATAAAGTACAAAAAAATGGAATTCATTGAAATCCTCAAGACCTTACAAAATCTTGGAATTCTATGGAGAAAAGGAAAAATATTTTATGCACCAAAAAATTAAAATAACTACATTATTTCCATAATTTCATAAAGGAATCTATAAACAACTGAACTACAACAACATAATCAGTGAAATTAATTAAACTGTTTTTATGATTTAATCAAGATTGGTAATTTGAATTGGTATTTTATTCCAGACATTCAGTAAAAACAAACAAGTTTGTTATTGATAAGGCATTAATATCAATCAATTACAGCATATTAAGACAAGGCAGCTAATCAATGTTTAAGAATACATTAATTCGTTATTTACATTTGGACAAATCTCATCTTTGTTATCATGTTTCAATTGTTGCGCCCTCTAGCCACTTTCAGTTATTGATCTGGGTAATTAAGGAAAATTGTATAAACAACTATGAGGACATTAGACTGAATGTAAATAATGGCAACTCCTCATCTGCCAAATTCAGACAGAAACAATACATTTTGATAAGGCAGCCAATCAAAATATAACTTCCCCTGAAAGTTCATTACAAAGAAGCGTGTTAAATATTCACAGCAGTTTTAAAGAGTTTTTAAAATATGCAAAATTAGATTTTGATAAAATTAGTATTTAGGACTCCTGAGTGGTTTTTGTCTTTAAAAAGGGAAAGAGTTAAAATGTTTTTAAAATTTTCAAAATACAATTTAAAAATGTCATGATTTAACTTGAAAACATGCTAAAAGCAAACTCTGTTAATCATCAGAACAAGATTAATAAAGGAACCAAGTCAAAGTTGGCAGTAGGAGTAACAGCTTTTTACTAATACTGCTTAATCTAGTGAGTTGTCCACAGGCACTTTTTAACCCTTTTCTCCTTCAACTATGGCATGCTAGAAAGGAGACATTTTTAGATGTCAGGTAAAAAGCATAAAGGTAAATTTTCAAAATTGTGTTCATGGCCACTGAATATAAACAGTCTATTCCCTATGCTTAGTTTTTCCATGTTGGTCAGCCAGATGACATTTAGCTTCAGATAAATAATAAAGCATGTCATACAGACATAGAATAGATATATCCCTCATCTTAATTATCCATTGTAAGGGATGATTATAGTTCTTTCTATATATTTTTAAAGAAATAATGTGCATAGGAGTGGATTTTAAAGGAGAGTAAGGAGTACAGGTCTAGTCCAGACCCACCTTAATTTCTGCATCAAGATCCAGTAGCAGGGTAGGATCCATGACAACTGTTTTTCTCTAATTACTAGTGTACTCATGCCATCAAAAAGTAATGTATTATAAGTAACTAGCAGTAGAGCCCGGCATTCCCTGGGGATGTAACAGTAAGAGATAGATCAAGTATCGACCATCATAAAAACTGAAAAATAAAATTGACAAAGATTATTGTTTAAGGTTGACAGACACGCATGTCTTAATTAGTTTTTTTTTTGTTTTACGAATTGGTCAAACCCAAACAAACATTGTTTTCAATATTTATGAGTCTATCGATTGAATAGAATTTTATTATAAACAATTGTCTTGTAAATGGAATTTTTAAAGCATTCTGAATGTAAAAATAAAGAAAAAAGTGTGCAAGACAATAAGAAACACTACCTGCCCCCCAAAAAGTGAAGTTTTGTTGAAATCAGTTGAAAAATGTAGGAAATCCGATCCCATATATAAATGAACACACACACACCACCTGGGTTTTATAATAAGTATAACTCGATATGAGTTGTCCCCCTTTCATTCTCGTGATGCCTCTTCGTGTTTTCAAATTGATTTTGTGCAAAAACAATTGTGTTTTCCCAATTTTTGGTGCTGTCAGAACCACCGCAAGGTAATTTTACGTAGTCCTGTGAAGTTTGGTTGAAATCGGTTGAAAAATGTAGGAAATCCGATCCAATATATAAACGCACACACACACACACACAATCTGCATTTTATAATAAGCAAGATATGTATCCAAGCATAATTTTGTAATTTAAAATAGTTCATTGCTAATGTTAAATTAACAATGTACAATTTATAAACACCTTAGGAAAGATATCCAGATTTTATCCTCATTGTGTACGCACACTTTTGTGACACACCTTCAAGAAGAATAAACAGTCAATTGCTGATACCCTCTGATTTGGTTTCGTTTGTTTTGATTTTACAGCATATCAACCTCAATGGGTTATTTAATGCCAACAAAATTTTTATTGTTGGTAATATTTTTTTTTTTTTAAATCTATTTCTGGTAATAATTTTCTTTCAAATATGTATCACTGGTAATATTTTTTCTTTTTCAAAAAATGTATAGCTGGTAATATGTATTTTTCTTTTTTTCTTCTTCAAAAATACATTGCTGGTAATATTTGTTTTTCAAAAATGCATTGCTGGTAATAAAACCTATTTTTACACTTTCATAGTGTTTTGACCCCAGTTACAATTCAATTGAATAAGGTTTTGCATCTTGTATTACGAATTATGAATTTTTACATGTCCAATTTTTTTTTTTTTTTTTTTATATGGGTCAAGTGTCCATCATTTCTATATTCTTCAGACTATTAGTGTTTTGTTTCTTGTTATGTTTTGTATTTTGAACTTTTGTTTCTGTTTCTACTTTCTTGTTTGATTTTGCTCCCTTAGTTTTACCATTCGGTTCTTTTAATGAACATTGTCTAGATGATGATCTTTCCCTTGTTTGTGATGGGCTAGAGATTTGTTCCTCTATGTACATTTTCCTTGGTTCTTCTATAACTGTTGTTTTTTTTTGGTATCATTTCATTCTCTTGAGAATATTTTGATGTTTCTATTTCTTGGATATTTTTTTTTAAGTTTTGATTTTTTGGGTTTAATAGTTTTGTAGATGTAGAGTCATTTTTGTTTGCGGTTGACAATATAGGGTTTGTTTTTCCATTAGGTTCTTTTAATGATCTTTGTATAGATGATGACTGTTCCCTTGTTTGTGATGGGCTAAAGTTTTGTTCCTCTTTGTCCATTTCTCTTGATTCTTCACTAAAAAGTTGAGTTATTTTTTTTATGTACCTTTTGATTCTCTTGAGAATGTTTAGAGGTTTGTATTTTTTGTATTTTTGTAATTTGGTTTGGAATTTTCAGATTTAATTATTTTCTACATGTAGAGACTTTTTTGTTTATGGTTGACGGGACAAGATTTTTTTTGTCTATGATCTATGAGTGATATACTACATTTTAGTAGTTCTATTAAACTTTTTAATTTGTTAATAAGAGTTATAACTTGGCTTCTTAATGTATTGTTTTCTTGGATGACTTTTTATTGATTTGATATTTTAGTGATATTTGCATATGATGCTTGAAGCGAATTAGATTCAACCTGTTTCCTGGCTTCTTGGAAAGAGATATTTTGTGTGTATTTTCTTCTAATTATTTCCTTTTCCCAAATGTTACACTCTTTGGAGTCTGCTGAATGTCTTTTTTTTTTTTTTTTTTTTTTTTTAACAGTTTGGACATAAAGGAGGCCTTTCACAAGGTGATTCATCATACTCAGTTTCCGGTTCTCCACATCTTCGCCAGACTGATGTTCTCGTACAAACATTTTGAAGATGACCAAATTTTTGACATTTATGACATCTACGGGGATTAGGAATATATGGCTCTACCTTGGCTATTGTGTAACCTATCTTTATTTCTTTTGGTAGAGTTGGTTTGTCGAATGTCAAAATAACTGTGTTGGTGTTTATTACCGTGTCATTTCTTTTTACTTGCATTCTTTTAACATCTGTTAATCCTTGCTTTTTTAGGGTGTTGTCATTTTCAGTTTCTTCTGATGAATAAAGTGACAGTTCTGGGCATTTTATTACTCCTTTTGATGAATTAAGAAATTGATGGGGGTAGGCCTTGACTTTATTGCCGTCAATTAGCTTGAATTTTAGCAATTTCTCTGTGTCTTTTTTGGATATCACTTGAATTAATAGAGTATTATTTTTCTCTATTTTTTTTTTTTTTTAGTTTCATGTCTAAAATATCCCTTTGCAACACAAAAGGAGACACTTTTGATATATCACCCTCTACTGATTCTACAACAAGTTGGAAACTGATTTTTTCCTATTTCATTTTCGCTTTCAGAAGTCTCATATTGTCTCTTGGTTCACTTATAAGAGATAGACATATAATTTTAATTTTTGTATTTGTTGTCTGTGCTCCCCACCCATCTCGGAGGGGGAGAGGACTAATCCCATTCGTCCTAATCCACTGAGGCTACACAGTATAGTTGTGATGAGAGTGGATACAAGCACCTGCACTCCCCCACCATATCTACCCAAGTATAGTATGATGTAAGGTTTCGTGGCCCTGTCAGACCCATTATCTATCATCCCAACAAGCCCTTGCCACTATGTGACTATACGATTAGGATAGATTGGGCTATTCCATCCACGCGTCTATCCCAAGTAGGGACCGAAGTGATGAAACTCCTTGTCATTTTATAGCAGTCACAACCCATGGCAAACAGGTGACCGCATTTAGGGGAAATTTTAGTTTTATGAAGTCGGGTTTTGTGAATATGCATTTTATATACTGCAATTTGTGTTGATGGTATTATTATTACAAAAAAAACATTCTTACACTTTCCTAGTATTTCAACTCCACATCAAGGGAAGTGGGGGGGGGGGACTATTTACCCATAGCTGGGACCCTAACAGGTGCTACCACTCCGGGTCATGGTGGAACCGGGAACAACAGCAACTATGAGGCGGTTCCACACTCCTCAAAACCTCCTGATCAGAGGCCCCGCTGCTGGATGCAGTTTATTGTCATACCCAGGACAGCCGTTACCCTCTGACGATGGAGTTATTCCCAGGGGGTCTGTCTCTGGAATCGGGATGCTGAAGGTAATACCAATCAGCTTTGCAATAATCCTTTCACTTTTATTAATTAATATTATATATATATAAGGCAGCAGCATACCTTCATTCAAGCTTTTTGGTTAAATAATCTAGACACATGTCTATTTTTATTTTAATCCTTTCAAATTCATGGATCAATTTCTTTGTGCTGTTACAAACCTATAATTAACATAGCCATAGGTGAATTCATTAAAATGACTAACATCAAATCAGACATTGAGAGGGTGTTTAAAATTCCACTATACAACCCACTTCACAAAAGTCAACAAAATAAACATCAGTTTTTTATGGAGGTGGGGACTTCTTAGTTAGGTCAACATTTTAACACCCCCATTTTATTATTGTGCAATAGTTAGCAAATGGTTTTGCACAACAGTGATAAATAAAACTTCATGCATCAAGGATGTTTGTTTTTTTTCCCAAACCGGCCTAGTTTACGGTGCAAAAATGGATCAAAATAGTGAAATTTCCTTCAAGTTCAACTGGCAATACAGAATAATTTTAATGTTATTTTGATAAAATTAATATGTAAAGAAAATTTAATGTTTTCTCTTTATAAAAGATATAATTCTTTTTGTTGCGTGATAATTAGTTTTTATTCCAGGTCTCTTTAAAGGTGGTCATGTTTCAGTGATAGACACTTCTTTTTCAGCATTTTAAAATTTATTTTATGTTCATTTTGAAACTTGTTGAGCACGGAGTTGTGTTCCTATGCATATCAAAATAGCAAAGAGAATGCCTGTCAATTTGGTGGGTTTAAAATAAAATTTAAGGTTATTTTTTCACAAAAAATTTCGAAGTTGAAAACTTCAATGGATGAAATAGCAGAGAAATTCACTTCTTAAAAAAAAAAAAAAAAAAAAAAAAAATTATACCACCTATTTCTTTTCTGATACAAGAACTGTATATTTTTCTTTGCAGAGTTTTGCCGGGTTCCATAAACTATCCTAATACAAACATTTAACACAGCCAAGAAAAGTTTAGTCACTAAAGGAAAAGATGACTTGAGCCATTTTAGATTCTTCCCATGATGCTTTTTCGCAGCTGATAAACTCAGTCATTGAAATTACATCATAGGACCCGGTGACTATGGTAACTGTGATGAAGAAGAACCATGCCAAGTGATCTTCAGAAAGAGAAGGCCAATGGGTTGCCATATACTAAGATTCCAGTTTCTACATTGGTCAAGACATTGACATTATATATCCAACCAGTGCAATAATCAAGTTTCTAGCTCCAACTAAGGGTAGAAACGATTATTTCAGATGCCCTTTGGTAGGTGCACAGGTCCAGTCAACTTTTATCTTAAGATGGGACTTTGGTTAACACCAGTTTCAAGGGATGGTAGAATCTGGAAGGTTCCAGAATTATTGGTTATAGAAGCCTATAAAAAAAATTCAGATCACAAATCACTATTAGGAGAGGAAGTGCATTAGGGCTGTTCGAACTGACCAGAAAGTCTTTTTCATCAATTCCAATAAATGTAGTTTTGTTAATTTCACTTTTGTTGTTTTAATTTAAAAATTGTGTTTTAAGGCTTTACAATTAAGTGTTTGTTTGAAAAATAAACCACCGATTCTTTTTGTATACCAAGTTTCAAAGTTATGATGTTGTTAGTCCTTTTTGGAAAAGTCAAAAAATTGTATAAATTTACAAAATTTATTTAAAAGAAAAAGTTTTAATATTAGAGATAAAATAACTGTTTTGTTGAATTCTTCATCCCAAAATGAGTAAAGTTTCAGGTTTGTACCTCTACCAGATATTTTTTTTACAAGTTCAAAGAGTTATTTTTTACTCTACTATCAAATTTTTCTTCCACCTGTACTTCCACTGTGAAATAAAAATTGTTTTACTGATGTACTCCCATGAAAAAGAATTTAGCTTAGTCTCAAATATACTATGAAACATTAAGAAATTTCAATGACTTAACTGTAGAATTGAAATTCATGAGTGGTCAAAGTTGACTTCCTGTGTTATTTTTGTACTGTTTTTAGGATGGAATGTGATGCCCCCTCCCAACATTTGTTTAGGTTGATCTTATTTCATAATTATTAATTCCATTAGTATTATCTTTCTTTTATTACTTAATAACATTGCATCTATAAAGATTTTTCACTTATTTGAAGACTGCATCATCACATACACTGTTAAAATGAGCTTCTAACCGAATTGCATTCAAGATGAAGAATCTGACAAACTTTGGTCATAACGTGGTTGCTAATTGACCTAGCAAGATAAATTTGGTACCATTTTTTATGCTTTGTCAAGCTCCATATACATACATGAAAAGTATTTACATATATTGAAGAAAAAAAAAAGTTTGGGATACCTATTTCTAGGCTTGAAATTTCTATACTTTTCAGCAAACTATAAGATGAATATAAAATTATATAAATGTAGACTTACATCTGTTTTCAGCTTGTCTTTAAAAGCAGAAACCTGAAAGTAAATATGAAATATCAAAATGCAGGCAAAATACAACCAAAAAAATGATCAATCCAAAACACAAACACAATTTCTTCAACTTCCAGTAAGCAATTCCTCATGCTTCTTTCTTTCTTCCATTAGAGCTTTGAGGAAGGAGGTAAAAATAGCATAGATATGTGTAAAAATGTTGTGATTCCTTTAGATTTGATAATTACAAAGTTGACCCAGGCAGAGCATAAGATAAATGCTGATAGGGAAGACTGTATTGCGCCTATCTGTTGAGAGATGGGAATCTGTTTACTGTGGAAATCAGAATTAAAATTTTGGTTTTCACTTTGGTCTGAAATATACAATTATCTTGGCCTCCAAATCTTTTTTCTTGTTTATGATTTCAGTTGTTTCTGGCTATATATTTGAGACCACTTGAACATTCACTGCCACTTTTGTGGGTCTCTGAACCACCATCGGACTCCAAGCAGTTTGAAAGGAAGAAATGATTCATTAATATAAATTAGGTACCTCTAAAAAATTTTCTGACAAGTTATTACGTTTCAGCTGTTGTATGCTCCGGCCTTCTTCAGGTGGTTGGAATGTCGAACTGAACCCTTTATTTCACTCACTGGGATAGCCTGTTCTAGTTCCACGTGCCATGTTAAAGGATGTAAGTTATCAGTTATCTCCCATTAATTCCCCTCTCAAAGTTTTCTACTGCCTTAACCAGGTATTGAACTCACTCTCTTTGGGTTCTGTCACTGGAGAACTTGGAGAAGGTAATTAACAGGAGATAACTGACATCCATTAAACATGGCACGTGGAACTAGAACAGTCTACCCCAGTGAGCAAAATAAAGGGTTCAGTTCGACATTCCAACCACCTGAAGAAGGCCAGAGCATACAATGGTCAAAACATTGTAATAAATATGGTTACAAAGATGAGGCCAATAGTCTGAATAATGTAAATAAAAAAAAGAGGACTAATCAGCTATTTAATCAAAAAAAGAAGATTCTTTCCAGTCAATTTAAATTAGTTTTTGAAATACAGCAAAGTATTTTGCTTATTGGAAATATTAATTTTAATTTATTAGCTTGAAATTCAAACTAAAAAAGCTTCAAGAAATATTTTTCATTTTAAAAATTCATTTTAAACCTTAGGTATTACATTTTTTTGTGGAGGAACCTAATATGAATCATTGACAAAACTATTCTTCATTCATATTACTATATAAATTACATTATCATCAAATTTGTTTTAACATTTCTAATCATACCCATGAAGACTTTCTGTAAATCATCACACAGTTCCATCATAACCAAGAAAGATCTGACATTGGATATTTCACAAGCAGAGGAAGAATGATGGCCTGGAACATGTCATTCATGGGTTATCTCCACTTAATTTAGCAACTGAGCATTCTGCCTGCCAAATTAGCCTTTCTTTCTAGCAGAACACGTGATACATACAAGGGTGATCATGTCTCTGACTCATGACTGATTTGGTAGAAGAATTCATGCAGTAGGGTACTGTTATGTTCTGTGGTAGGTGACCAAGCAAAGCTATCAGACCCAGTCTGTCCTATGAATTCATACCTTTATCAAGGGTAGTTGTGTGTAAGTGAATGTAACAATCTTCACAGGTACTTTAACTTGATTCCAATTTCTCATTTCAAGCAGTGATTTATTATACCACCTGCACATCCAAGCTTACAGCATCTGGTATTCCCAAGTGGTCACCCATCTAGTTACTGACCAGGCTCAGTCTTGCTTAACTTCAGTGATCAGATGAGAATGGGGGGGGTTCCAACATATGGCCAAGAAGAAAATAATGATAAAATGACCCCAAATTCATTTTCCCTTAAATACTATTTTTTGTTCAACTGTAAATTGCTTCACCATGTTACAGTATTTTTATTACCAGTGTTTTTATACAAGTAAAAAAAAAATTTTTTTTTAAATTAAAAAGAAATCAGAAATTTACAGAAAGAAAAAAAAAAAAAAAAAAATCAAATTTACAGAAAAAAAAAAAAAAAAAAAACTAGAAATTTATAGCAAAACAAAAGATCACTATCTTGACAGTCATTTCAACACCCCCCCTCCGTTCTGACAAGCTTTACACTTGCTACGTTGTTACAAATTTAAGATTGGCAGCTAGGTCTCATCATTTTACAGCTGAAATTGCACAAAGTAACCATAAGTTCTATGCTAACAGTTTCTTCTCTTGCATTTATTGCTTGTGGAACTTTTGTCTTCTTACTTTCCAATCAACTTTAACTTTCAATCTTTCTTCTTAATTCTTGTTCTTTTCGTGAACTCTCAATATTTTTTTATCAGATTCTTTCACACTCGATCTAGGTAGCTCCACAAAAATGCAATGCCTAACATTTAAAAAGAATTTTTAATAATGAAAAATCTTTCTTGAAGCTTTTATTTTAGTTTAGTTTTAATTTCAAGCTGATAGATTACATTTGATATTTCCAATAAACAAAATACTATGCTATTTCAAAACTAACTTAAATTGATTGGAAGGAGTGCTTGTTTAGAAATTTCTAAAATTTTTTTAATTTAGCGCCATTTTTAGCAAACTGTTATAAAAATGTTTATCTTTATTAAAAAAAAAAAAACTACCAAAAATAAAACCTACTTTTCTTAAACTTTATTTGAGGAATATTACCCAAATTAAAGTACAATTAATCTGATTTGAAACAAGTATCATTTACTTTTGCCAATAAAAGCCTATAAAAAGGTGAGGCAAGTGTTTTGCAGTCATTTCCATAGAGATTGAAATCAGCATTAAGTTTAAAATAACAGAAATGCATTTTTTAACATGGCAGTAGCTTGTTTATTGACAACTCAGTGACAGATATTTTTTTTTTTTTAATATAATGTTGTTTAAAAAAATAACTGAAGAATGTAGCACAAACGCCTTTTAAGTACTTGGTAATCTTAAAAATTAAAAAAAAAATATTTTCTGTAATGTATTATTGAACTTTAGAGAATTTGGGCTCTAAATTTACTGTAGTTATCGCTCTTATTTTCTGATAATGTCGTGTATGGGCGACCGTATCTAGAAAAATGGACAATTTACACATATACAAAAACAACTCAAAATTCTTTTTAAAATCTTTGGTGTCGTCAGATTGTAATAAGTGTTATGATATATGATTAGAAAATAGTTTTACTTAATATTTCCTAAGAGTTACTGAAACTGAACTTTAAACGATTTAAAAATATAAATTATTTTAATTAAAATTGTAAAAAATAAAAATAATAAAAATACAAAAAAATATATAAAAAGATAAATAAATAAAAATAATAAAAATACAAACAAATAATAAGAACTAATTTTGTAAAACTTCATTCCCCATCAAAATTTTTTTTCTTCTTAAGACAAAAGAAAAAAAAAAGTCCTTATTAGTCATAAAAGAGATTCCAGGTTGACTTTCATTAAGACGGGTCAGAGTTTACAAAAAAAAAAATTTAATTCTCCAAAAAGAAACTTTAACTAATTAACACTTAACTAATATAGTCATTAAAAAAAATTATCATCATGCTGAATTTCTCGAGTTTGCATAATGTGAAGACACACATGCAAAAAAAAAAAAAAAATATTCTAAAAATTTAATTCATTTGTAAGTCCTGAAAATTTCATTAAAATCCGACAATTATTTGATTTTTGCAAGAATTTTCAAACTGATGTATCACCACAAAATAGAGGATAACATTTGCTATGGTAATTTATAATATTTTTAGTTTACTAATGCAAGAAAAACAAAATTTTGAATGTTCTCTAAAAACTAAAAAGGATTAAATTTAAAAAATTTCCTTTTAAAACAATATCGATGATCAAACTGTTTTCATTAAGTTTGAAGTATTTTTTCATCACAGTATGCTAATTTTTTTAGCGATTTTGTGGAGGTACCTACAATAATACCTTGTGTCTTAGTGGCTTTATCACATCGCTTAGGGTGAAATGATTAAAAACAATTCTACAGTTACATCATTGACAAGTGGCAATTATTTCACTGATCCATTTTATTAAAAATGCTTCAATTTTCAGCAATTCTAGAATGTTTAGAGTTTGAACCAAAACATTTTTGATTATACGACGTTATTAAATATAAAAGTAGATCTTACCTTTAAAATAGTTAATTAAGAAAGACAATGAAAATGAAATTATTAATAAATTTAACAAAGCGTTGATGTAATTATCTCCCCCTGAACTATAATAGCCATTTTGAACATCCATAGTAGGAAAAGCGAATCAATGAAATTAAGATTAAATTTCTTGCTAGAAAGAAAGAAAAAAAAAAGTTAAATATGACAGAACAAATACATATAAACTAAAGACGTATACAAACAGTAAAAACTGCTTTTACTCATAAAGGTGTAAGGAAATGGCCATCAGAAACATTTCCTAATACAAATAAGAAATAAGAAGCGTTGCCGAACGATCTCATTTTTTTTTTGAGGATCATTAAGAAAAAAAAAAATAAAAAAATAAAACACCTTTATGTTTAGAATTTTGCAAAAATAAAAAAAAACAATGAACATCATTCTTGATGGGAGGAAATGCCCAAAACGGCCTAACAAAATATTTATTTACATAATTTTTTAACAAAATGATAAATTCTATCGACAATTGTTGCTTGGCTTTTATAAAATCATGTTCAAGTAGTTGAATAATAAACACAAAAAAGGGTAACAGTGAACATTTGAATTTTTTTTTTTTTTTTACATACAAAAAGAAAAAATAAATAAAAACATACTTTCACGAATAAATTCTTAAAGATAAAAAATAAAAGTAAATTACGTATATATAAATTTATAATTCAAGTAAAAAAGTAATCTTAATTTTTAAGATCACTAATTCATTCAGAAATTCAAAAATCAGATATTGGGGGCTAGTTTCAGTAAAATCATGTTATTTTTTATTGAAATTGAACCATAAAAAATTAAGCAATAAAACTAAAAGTTACATTTTTTTTTTTTTTTGTCTAGGAATAATTTCAAATTAAATAATTTTTGTAATTAAACCAAACTTTAGCCTTAATTTAAATTAAAAACTTTTTATTTTTTTTTTTTTATTACGAACTTAGTTTGTAATAAAAAAAAAAAAAATTAAAAAGCTTACCTATTGCAGATTGTTCTTTTAGTGATTTTATTATAATTAAAAAATAAAAAAAAATGCTCCGGAGTGTCATCCTTCAAACTAAAAGTAGTTTTAAAAAGCAATATTTTGAAACTTAATTTCGTTTTTTTTTAAAGGTTAAGTATTTTCTTATTCATTGGTTTTAAAATGAAGAAAAAAGAATCTGGTTCATTCTACTTTAAAAAAAAAAAAAGACGTCTTTGGAAATTATAGAAAAGGAAGGATTATTTCTTCTTTTATATAGAGAATTATCTCAGAAGAGAGATATGAACGTTTTTGGTTTATACCAAGGCAAACGAAGAGAAAAGACTTCGTTCTCTTTCTCACTTTAACTTAACACATGTGGTTGATTTTTAAGATGGTACCATATGTATCTCTGTATTAAAAAGGTTTTCTAACCTCGTGGTGCCACGTATTATTATTCCCTTCCATCTCTCATATAAAACAAGAGACAAGGGGTAAAATTTAACAAACCTGCTGATTAATCTCTTTTGACATCGGATCGTTGGAGAGAGGCATCTGTCACAAAATTTAAGATTAGTGACAAACTTGCGCCAAATTTGACTTGCGTCTTTTTTAAAACGAAGGGAAGGAAAAACGTCGGCAAAGGGAAATTACTCCCTTATTTGACAAAAGAGCGTCAATCAATCAGGGGCATGTAACTAGAATATGGCTCAATGGTAGAGCATACGTCTGGAAAGAATAAACAATTAATTTCTGAAGTGCATGCTTGGATTTGGTTCTCGTTGAATAGACTGATATTGGTGAAGCCTAAAGAGAGTCACGTTCCACCAAAAAAGATCAATTTTTCCAAGTGCAAAAAAATGTAAAAAATATGCACACTCCTCATGAAATAGTGGCTGCACTTGGCAATTTTATTTTAAATTAATTTCTACGTACTTTTTAGAAGATGAAAAAAAATTATGTTTATTTTAGTTTTAGAGTTGCATTTTGTTCTAGTTAAAATGTTTATACTTTTTCAGATTTTCTTTTAATAATTTAAATTATGAAAGACAGTACATAATTTAAATACAAGAATAATGATGTTTGGATCCATCTACCCACGTTTTCGTTTGGCATTCCAAACATTTTAATAAAAAAACATCTTTTTTTAAAATGAAACATAAAATAGGTTATTTTCTGGTGGAAAAGTAGAGGCAGAAAGAGAACTGAAATAACATTTATATATTCTTTTCAGAAATATACAATAACAATAATATGTTCAATTTTTCTTCAAGTGAAGTTTGTTTTATAAATTAAGTTTTCTTATTGCGGTATGAAATATATTGTAGACAGACTCATTTTATGATGGTCAGCCTCGTGTTTGTGAGTTTGTAGACAAAGGCTTAGTTGGAAGCTGCTGGCTCATCCGTTCTATTGTATGTGTGTGTGGGTGTGTGTATGCACATGTTGATCAAACAGGCCTCCAAAATTGTTTTGAACCTCCAGAAGCAGTAGGCCTCTATAATAGAGATCAAAAATCGGATTTCACATAGAGGGGTGAATTTTTTGAATACAAGATTTTCATTGGTTAGAAAATAATTTCACACTGGTTTGAGAAAATCTTTTTCTCAAATTTGTGGGAGTGAGAAAGGAGTTATTATTGTTATTTTCGAAATAGTTAAAAAATAATATGTGGTAGATCTACAACTAGGTCTGCCAAGTATTTACCCTTGTAATGATTGTTCAAACCTTCTGATGGGATTTTATTGTTTGAAAAATAAATATAGGATTTAATTCCTTTAATGAAAAACTGCTAACAAATTCTTGTGTAGTGTTTGTGAAAAAAAACTTTAAAAATCTTTGTAAATTAAAATTTGGTGAAATAAATGAATTAGAGTGTTTCAAGTTATACTAGGCACATTAGAACATATTCTATTAATTAACCAGTTTCAGACAAAATAAAAATCTCTTTTTAATGAAAATTATTAATAAGATATAATATTCCTATTGAGTGGATAGCAACAAAATAAAATTTAATTAACTTATAATTTATGGAGAAAGATAAAAATTATACAGCATTTAAAACATATATCAAATCATTAATCTGTAAAGTTTCAGCTTTTAAGTATAGTGGAGCAAAGATGGAAATAATCACTAAAACCGTCAATCATCAAATGAAAAAAAATGGTTTCTGAGTTGGAAGAGTCATGCATCCTTCCAGATAATAAATTAATCCTTTAAAAAAATATTTAACATTTTTTCAACCAATGGGTCATGTTCATGCTGACAATAAAAAAACATGCTTTGCGATCCCATTGAAGAGTATATAAACAAAGCTTCTAGACTAAACAGGCCAGTAAGGAGAAGGAGCAGCAACATACTGCAACAGATTCACAACACCACGGTTTAACACAAATTCCCTTACTCATTTGCCCATCTTCCTCACCAAGCTATGTGACACTTACACTCTTCCTCATGAAGCTATGTGACACTTACACTTTTCATTAGCAAGATATATAGCCCTTACACTCTTCTTTACCAAGCTACATGACACTTATGCTCTTCTTCACCAAGCTGACATTTCTCCCTTGCCTCTTTTTTTCTCACACATACACATGAAGAAATCTCATTTCTTTTCATCTTAACAACCAACTACAAAGAAAGGAACTTTAAAACAAGAACTTGAACATTCATACATGCTGAGAAAAATTTAGTTGTAAAAACACAAAAATAAAAATATTTCATATTTTTATATTAAAAAGCTTTCTAGCCTTTATTTTTTTTTGAGTTGACTCAACTCTGCAACAGTATTTATAGATATTATTGAAAATTTTATATTCTTCAAGTAACACACTTTCAAATAGAGCTGAACATTTTTCTGTTAAATATTTGTGTGCTTTTTGTGTCTGCTATGACATCTATACATAGTCCAAGCAATCCACATGACGATACAAGTAGCAGCCAGGTGTAACAGTCCAAGGCAAAGTAATTGAAAAATCTTTCTCTGCTTTGACTCATCTATTCCCTGTCGGATGAAAACTGTTGTCATTAGAAGAAACTAGACTAAAAAAAAACAATTTTTGCAAATCACCACAATTATTTCCAGAATATAAAGATTTGGGATTTAACCTTTTTCTGTTTTATTCTTTTCCTTTCCTTTTTCATTGTGGATGAGTTGAATATTTTTACAAGGACAAATAACCTTCAGACTTGTATTTTATTTATATCACACACAGTCATAAAACTGTTCAGTAATTTTTGCTTCATATTCTGACTACACAATTTTGAAAATTTAACGGTTTTGAGATAACATTTTCTTTTTGTAAACAGAAATTACAATAAAAATTGTACTTTTATTATCAATGTTTTTCAATGGTTTTTTTCCTTTTTTCAAGTTCAACATAGTGTAGGGGAGTTATAACTCTGAGTAAATAATTATAATGACCCTAACATTTATTGATACAAAAATACTTGTAAAAATGAGAAACAGCAAGATGTAGAAACAACAAGAGTATTATTTATTATCAGGTTTTTATGTGATGTTGGAGAAATGTGAAGCAGTAATACTCAGTAAAATTATAAATTTGGAGGCAAATGTAGACCAAATATGGATTGGAATCTGACAGAAGAATAAGGTAAAGAATAACTAAAGTGTATACAGTCTTTCTCATATGTTTTTTTATAGATGTGTGTAATGTGTGTCCAGATAATTTAGTTGGAAAAATACAAGAAGGGATTTTCTTATCTCAAATTTTTGTTGAGTGCTAAAAGACAAATGTTACTATTATGGCTTGAAAAGGAAAAGGAGATGAAATTTTTGTTGATGCATGTATTGACAACCTGTCCGTGTGAACTGCTTGACTAATAGTGAGAAAGTCACATGTTTGTGTGTGCAGAGGAGAAAAGTGGGGTCAATTCTCATTGGTTTAGAAAGAGTGAATTAATGATAATTATAATTGTTATAATTAGTTTATTATAATTATTTTTGACACTATAATTAATTTCTACTTATCTTTTTATGGACTTGACACTGTGACAGCATAATTAAATTTTTATTTATGTATTTCTTTATGGACACAACAATAGAAATAACAATTTTGTTGAAATATTTTTAAAAAGTATTATTTACAAGTGGACTATTATCCTCATCTTTGTTGTTTTTATCAAGTTTCAGCCACTGTACTCTCCAGCCATCATCAGGTGCATGCCAAGTCAGGTAACTTACAGGGAATTCTGAACTGAATCTTTTATTTAATCTACAGAGGTAGATTGTTCCCGTTCCACTGTTGCTATCAATAACTGAGCAGTACTAAAAATAAGAACTGGACAAGATTTCCTTTGACATGGGCAGTGGAATGAGAACAGTCTACCCTTGTAGATCAGATAAAGAGTTCAGTTCAGTTCAGAATTCCCTCTAAGTTACCTGGATTGATATATACAGGATGAAGGCTGGAGAACAATGTGGCCGAAATGTTGTAATAATAACAACAAAGATGAGGACAATAGTTTGCATGTAAATAGTGAAAACAATAACTCCATATCCTAAAAATTCAGACAGAAAATATATTTTGTATCTTTAGATTATGAATCATATGAAACAGGTGTTACCAAATAGTTCCAGTAATTTGAAAATAGAGACTAAATCAAATATCATTCAAACTTATAGCGTGCAACATTTTGCTATATACCTGTATCATATTCACTCCCACATATTTTTTTAAAAAACAACCAGAAGAAAAAGCTTAACCAGTGATCATTGTAAAACTGATCCAGAATAAAAAAAAAATGAATCACTGAGCTGCCCACACCTTGTTGTGTAATCATCTCTCAGTTGCATCTCTGTCTAAACCAATGAGAATTGACCCCACTTTTCTCCTTTGTCTAGAGAGGAGGGATTGGTAGTCATACTGATGCCAGCACAACTGATGGTTGCAGGGGATGGGCAATTTTGGTCTTTGGCCTGTGTATATGTGCTTGGGTTCTCCATATTAAATCCGATGTTGTGTCACATCTCATCTCAGGGTGGAGTAAATAAAATCAATCCATGGCCTAGATGATTAGGCTCAAAGGGTAGTATCTGTTTCAACTGCCAGCCCACTGCTCCATTCATCAACAGCAGTTCCAGCCGGCCACCATCATCTGCAACTCCAGCTCACCATTGGCGGCTGCTCCAGCCATCTCCTGCTCCAGCCATCCTCACCAGCAGCAATGATATGCAATAAGCTGTCCTTTTCAGGACAACACTTTTCAGCCACCATAAAACTATCCTTTTCTGAACAACACTTTCAGCCACCACAAAACTGTCCTTTTTAAGACAACACTCTTCACTGATTACAAAACTGTCCTGTTCAGGATAATGCTCTCCAGCAATTACAAAACTGTCCTTTTCAGGACAACACTTTTCAGTGACTACCCAAACTGTCCTTCTCAGAACAAGGCTCTTCTCACCCTCTAGATGAACATAAAGAGATATTTTTTGCCTAGTGCACTATAACCTTATTTTTGTTGATGTATTTTCTTTAACAAAAATAAACTTGGCAATATATTTTTCACTCAAGTTTTCATTTTGTTTGTTG